CCCTGTCAAACACAGCACCCATGCATCGTGCCGGTAGAAGGTAGGTGCCACGACACACAGCATAGTTTGACGAGGGACAATGCGTCCTCCACTAGGGTATGATGGTCCTTCACAGGTTCCAGCATGTCGCCGACAGTGGCTACCTGAAGTTCCTCACGACGACGCTGCAGTTGAGCGTGTCCAATCTTCGATTTTCCGTAGATGTGCTTGTACGTATCGGCGAAGGATTGTACATTCCTCCCTGACGCCGCTGCAAACCATCGATGCCATTTGTGTAAATGGACCGCTGATGTCAGCGTGATAGGGACGCATTTTGGCCACTTCGTGTAGCGCCACATAACACACAACAAGGTCGTGTTTACCTTGAACTGTCGCTTCAACGAGACCGAATTCCTTCAACCGCGGCTCTCCCTAGAAGATGAACCAGGACAACCCGCGACCTCCACAACCACACACACCACAGCTGAGCAGCCCTTCGAGGATGTCGAGATGGGTAACGTCAACCAACATGAAATAAAGGAGGAGCTGTCGCCGGACTCATCGACACGATCCTCAACGCCAACTGTAAGTGAGGCGCGACCACATGAAGGCCCGCCTCCTCGCTCACACAGCACGCTATACACACTGCCCTCCAGAAATGAGATACGACAACGAAGAAAAGCGGAATGGACCTGCTGCAGGAACCAGGGCACAGACGCGTGCGGCGTCGGATGCCCCGACCATTGATGCGCCGACAGCGCAAACTGACGCCACGGGTCGTAGAAGCTCCAAGTCTCGTGAGCCCGCCATGCGCGATACAGTGAAGGAGTCGATCGCATCGAACCGACGTAGCGCGCGCCTAAGCGAGGTCGCCCAACGACGCGAGGCGTTGTCAGCCAAATCAACCGAAGCCCAGTCAACCGAACGGCCGCCGCTTCACCCCGTGCGAGCCTCCGCGAGACCGCGCAACGCCGACATGAACTTCATGGAGACACCCGCGAAAACTTCCCGCACGGAGGACGGCGATCGCGGCCTGGCGACTCGAGAGTTCGATGGCGCGCAGGAGGACACTGCAAACGTCACCTACGACGTTTGCATCAATGTGTCCAATATTGATGTCGACGAGGACGTACCGTCAACCATCTGGGAGGCGATGCGAACGCCGGACGCAAACGGCTGGTTCGAAGCCTGCATGAAGGAAATCAACAACCTTCAACTCATGAAATGCTACAAGATCGTGCAAAAGAACCCGAAAACGCACCCTGAAGTCGAAATGGGTCTTCAAGCGCAAAGCCAGACGGCTCGCAGGCATTCAAAGCGCGCATCGTAATCAAAGGCTGCGCACAGCGTCAAGGTCTCGGTTACGACGAAACGTACGCACCTGTGGTTTGCGTCGACTCACTGCGGCTGGTACTTGCCGTTGCGACGTGCGAAGGTCTAAAGTGCCGCTAGGGTGACGCCACACACACCTATATCCACGCACGAAGCGACCGCGAGATGTATATGATCCCGCCGGACGGCTTCGAAGGCGCGAACGGCGAGACTTGGTAGATCCTTGGCGCCGTATACGGGATGAAACAGAGTGCATTTCACTTCAAGAACGCACTTGAAGCCATGGGTTTTGGTGCTACCCTGAGCGACAGCTGCGTTTTCACTCGTCGTGCCCGCGAGAACCTGCAGATCATCACGATTTACGTGGACGTCGTCCTCGTTTGCGCACCCACGGACGTCGAGATCGACAGCATCTTCGGGGACCACAACGTGACATCCGTCTCAACGACATGGGACCGGTATCAAAACTCCTGGGGGTGGAGATATACCGCAATGAAGAGGAGATGACGATGGAGATCTTACAAACGACGTACATTGAACGTATGGCGGCCAATTACGGTCTTTCCAACTGGAAGCGTGTCAAGACGCACATACCCGTCGGGACTAACCTCAGCGTCGACGCTGGACTACTACTAGATGATGACAAGCCATATCGCGCAATCATCGGGTCGCTCTTGTATTACGCAATGGCCACCCGACCAGACACCGTTCATACCGCCACCCAACTATCGCAATATCTGTCAGCTCCACAGCATCTACGTATGTACGTGGCATGAAGGGTGGTGACGTACCTCTTGCACACCAAAGACATTGGGATCTCTTTCAACGGGGTGCCGCGAACGAGTAGCGAGCTCGTAGGTTTTTTGGATTCGTCCTGGGCCGACGACAACCAGACCGGCCGCTCAACATGTTGGTACCTGTGGGTGCTTTCATGCGGCCCGGTTGTTGGGCGCTCCAAATTGCAGTCGATTATGACGCTCTCGTCTACGGAGGTGGAATAAGTCGGGGCCTGCCTTGCAGCTCAACATGGAATGTTCATTTCAAATCTACTCCACGAAATCGATACCGAAAACAACATGGCGACAACGCTGTACCTGTACAATCAGTCCGCCATCGCAATTGGAACAAACCCGTCCAGCATCCAGCGGACCAAACACCTCGCGCTGCGCATTTACTTCCTCCGCAACCTTGTCCGTGGTGGCCATTTTGAGCTCTCCTACATGCCATCCAATATCATGCCAGCGGATGCACTCACCATGTACGTACCCGCGGACAAACTTCGTGGAGCGATGGGCTTGATGGGCATGGGAGGCTCTTGTGGGTTTTGCCCATTGGCCCACGCCCTTTGGAGCACCCCGATCGTGAGGCCAGGGCGACAAAGCGTGTAGCACCGGTTGTAGTCAACCGGAAATATCGCGAAGGAGACCCTAGGGTAGAGTAAGAAGAGCACTTCTAAATACATCACGTTGGATCCTGTACTCGCCTTTGCAAAACAAGTAAACAACGGAAGACATTTTGGTGTTCATGACCCAACAACCCATTGTTTGGCTTCCTACCCGGGGTACCACACGACACATGCTATCATCGTTTACCCTGTGGGGCCTCCTGCACTCCACGCTTGGTCTCACTCTCGTCCAAGCTATGAGTAAGGCTCATCCCGTGGGCTTGCTTCAGGTTCTCACGATGTTGAAAGAGAGTGGATATCGGTGTGGGAGCACCCAAATGGTCGCATTCGACGGTGAGGAAGTCGAACTGAGGTTTACGACTCCTTACTTGTTCAAAAGGCCCCACGACTGCCCTATCCGCACTGCATCTTCCCACCAACATCAACTCACTCCGTCACACGACGACATCAACCAAACTAGAGTCTCTTATGCCCAACACACACGACGTCTGCTGCATCCGCAACGTCTCCGGACCTAGTTTGCCAACACCATCACTGCGGAGTTATCTCTCTTGACGTCC